CTGAGGGGGCAGGGGGGCGTCAGTGTCTGTCTGTCTGTCGCCCAGCTCCTTCCCAGGGTTTTTGGGAGCCCTTTCCCTTACCGCGTTTTGCATAGGGCGCTCCTGCTCGTTCGAGGCAATGCAGTAACGTGTCGTCTGCTCCCGCCCCGTACGTTTAGTCTTCTTCGTAAGGCTTTTTGCTAACCAAGACTTGGGTTTTTTTCTCTTTTCTTTTTCCCCTTTGGCTGTCAAGATGATTTCCAGCTTGTATTTTTAATTGTTTAAAAACGCTTCCCGTCTGAAGGATGTCATTACCAACCTTTATAGCAGGGCCCAGGTACAAATTTGGCAGAGAGCAACTCTATCACAAGGCTCTGAAGTCCCAAACGAAGTGGATTTTGACAGACTTCACACATCCCATTGCTGTTGTCCGAGGTGCACATGTAGATTGTCTGTGGGTTGTGTGCCTCTCAGGCCACAACAGGCCACCAGGCCTCTCTCTGAGGTGTCAATGGGATTTGGTTCTTCCCAGTGCTATGAAAATCCTGCTTCCAAGTGAGCAAGGAAGATGAACTCTGAAAATGGTTTCCATTTTCCTTTTCCAGGCACCATCTAGGGAGTTAAAATGATGAGATTCCCCCTTTTCAGTGGTGTTTAAAGCATATTGGTTTTTTTTTTTTTACCTTGTAAGATGAGATCTCATGGGTTTTTTTTCAGACTTTGAACTAGGGAGTCCTATGCTGCAACAGTGTCATAAGTCATGTAGCTGAGCTGCATCCACATGGGCAGTGCCCTGTTCCTTCTTGCGTGCCAGTATAGGGGTAGCAGGATTTTCGACACTCACCTTCACACCATACTTTGCCTGGAGCGTGCTTTTCTTCACTGGTGTGGAAGCTCTGCCCTGGAGGAGTAAAATTGTGCCTTTGTGCAAGCGTGAGGCTGGGCTGTGTAACAGAGTAGGGATGCTGTGAGGATATGATCCACCTTTCACATCGTTTTGCTCATAGTAGCGAAAACAAAGAGCCTGATTCTTTCTCTTCCCTGATCTTCTGCACTTCCTTTTAAATTCTGTGGGATTTACAGGTGTCTTCCACCTACAAATTTATTTCTGTGGCCACTTTAATCTGACTTTGCTTCGCTGTGTTGAACTTAATAAAACATGTAACTACATAAATGAGTAAAGAGGAGGGCATATATAAATCATAATTGGAACCGCTGTACTTTCCTTTTTCATCATAGTATCTCTTTCTACTTCATATTATAAATTAATGTAAATTCACAACAGGGATGCAAACCAGTACATTCTTTGGTTTGTTTCCAGTACGTTAAGTGCAGGAGGCACAGATTAGGCCCAGGAAAACAAACAGCAGTTCAAACTTGTTTCTGTTTGCTGTGTATTCTGCTTTAAACCTGCTCTGCATGCTGAGCCTTAATCCGTTATCGAAATCACGACAGGAGATGTGTAAGCGGGTATAAGTTGTACTGTTTATTTTAGCTTGCCATTTTGGGAACTGTGCACCGGCTACCACAGGTGCGAATGGGGGCTGTAACAAGAATGAACTGAATGAACCTTTAAGAAAACAAGTTCTCCACATGTAATTATGGCTTGTAGGCCTACTTTCATGGTTTGTTTTTAGTACAAGTAAGAACAAATCTTTCTCATGCTTTCTGAAAATTAACATTTTAAGTAGCACAAGTGTCTGATTCTGCCAGCCAGGTGCCTTTTGCAGTGCTTTTGCACCGAGGGCATAGTTGTGCAGCCTAAAGAGCAGTGGACAGTGTGGCGTCAGCTGGTGCTGCTGAGAGGACAGTTGTTCTTTTCCAGAATCCCTAGTAATTTTGCTCTCATTACTGTGTGGAAAACGCTGCACAGATATTGGGCGAAAATGGTATTCTAGTCGTGAGTTTCAAGGAAGCATGTTTATCCACTGTCCTAATTGTCTTTTGGGGTTCACAGCCTATGAACCATAAACCTGTCTAAGCCTCCTCTTCAAACCCTTTTTCCCACCAAAGCAATCTTAGTATCTGGTTATGCCTCTTCCAAGCTGCTAGAACTACTTAAAGAAATGTCTTTCGCATTGTATTCTTGCGTCTGCCTTTTCCTCTTTTGCAGAAGTGCTAATGTTTGTGTCAGGGGGTAAAACAGAGAAAACTTTACCATCAGACAGCGCACGCAGTGCTTGCGGTGGAATATGTGCTCATTACAGCTCTCTGTAAGCACTGCTTAAAGAGGAACTGGAGCCTTTTCAGAGTCTTTCAGAGCAAGTCCTCTTGCCGAGCACACGGCAAGACAGTGTTACATCTGGAATGGCATAAACATTAGACAGCAGTGCGGGACTTCCTTCTTTTTTTATCTGTGGCATGTTCAGCCATGCTATGAGTATGGCCTAGGACGCTACACAGTCCAGATTTTGAGAAGTGAGTGATCTGGCACATCATTAGGTGGTTGGTGGGCTCAGAAGTGGTTCTTTGCTACCTTTTTCGTTATTTGGTCAGAAGTGACAGCCACCTGAGTAATAGGTTTAAGTTTTTATAACAGTCTACCCAAAACCTAAGCAGATTTTGTAAAAATCTAGTTTGGAAGCAGGTTTCTCCAGAGCTGTTAAAACGGGTAGATTTCACAATAGCTACTTGCTTTTGCTGGTGGTGTTGGTTTAAGATCATGACGTGTACCTAGATATTTTTGCTGTATATATGGCGAGCCTGAAGCTGAGTTACAAGAGATGTCTCTGATTTCTTTAAGCGTCTGTGACTCATTCAAGTGCATTGAGTTATATGGGATCTGGTCTGTGATTTCTGCTGTTTACCGCTAAGTAGAATTAACTCCCTGAATTTCAGTGAAAGCATCACCACTTTCTGTTATTCTGCAAAGCTGATCTCTGCATCTGACTGCAAGCATTTTGGGTTGACAGATTTTTGTCCTGAAGAGGACAGTGTGTCCTGCTTAATAGGTGTTAGCTGCTGTAACAGCAGAAATGGTTGACAGACTAGCTTCTGTTGAAGCTGGGGTGTAGAAAGTCTGGAAATTGTTAAAACTTTTTATTTCAGTCTGCATAAAGGTTCTATTTTGTTTCACCTACAAGCCAGGTTGCAAAACTGGTGACTGGGGTTAGTGTTGGAGGAAGTGTGTATGAGGACAATAATGCTGATCATAGCCCTCATTATAAGCAAAATCTTGCTGCATGTTGGATTGCTTGGCTTATATGCTTCTGCATTGTTTCACAGAATGGAAAATGCAATGTATAGGTTGTTAAAAGTGGGGGAATTTTTGAAATATAGAATTTGTGCCAGTTATGATATCTCAGAGCTTAAAGGCAAAGATAACCTTCCCTTAAAGAGAGGCAAGATATGGCTCTACTAACTGTCCACAGCTTGCCCGTTCCAGCTCCAAACTGTGTCCCTCCTGACATACTTAGCTTCTAATCTAGGAGAGAAATATGAAATACAGCGTGCCACCTTTGAAGAGTTCACATCTGCTGTACAGCATCCCTTGTATATCTTAGTTATTCAAACAACGTATTTTTTCTTTGGAATTTTTATTAATAAATATTTCTTTGTTCTTCTAATGACAGGTCAAATACCAAGACTTTCTAAGGTC